AAAATAAAAATAACAAATGAAAAATAATTAAAAATTATTTTTTATTTATCTTTCATTTTATATTAAATTAAAAAATTATTTTTATTTTTATTTTTTATTTTTATTACGTTAAATATTATTTTAAAAACGTTTTTATTTATTTTTTTAAATGTAAAAAATAAAAACAGAATTAATTTCAAACACGCTCAAAAGAAATAAAGAAAAGGAAAAAAAAAAAAAAAGCACCAAAACAGCGCGTGCTTGACGACCAAAAGTGGATAGTGGAAACTTTATTGATTCTTTTATTGACCATCAAAAGTGAATAGTGGAGCTTTATTGAGTCTTTTAATTTAGTTAAGATTAAGATTTTTTCTTCCAAACTTTTACTAGGTGATAATTTAATTTTTATTTTTTTTAATCTGGAAAAAAAGATCACTACACTCTTTAATTGTTGGTAAATAAGTAACCATTCTGTCCATCTCCGTTATTTTTTTTTAGAGAATTATATACGTCCACACATGTGCCACTCTTTTTTTTGTAAGAAAAAAATAAAAATACTATCAGATACATTAAAAAAATAATAATAATAAAGAAAACTCATTTCAACACTCAAATTATTCTTCTCCTACATCAGCGGTCCGTTGAAAGAGCCACCGGCCTAAATTTAACAGAAGGAGTAGAGATCGTCTATACCTGATGATCACTTTCATTTTTTTTTTATTCAATAAAAAGTTTATATCAGGATCTGTTTATTTCAGCGATTCTCATTTAAAATTTGAGTTTTGTTATCAATTTACGTTTAAAATTTGAGTTTTATTATAGTAAAAATTTTTTAAAAATAATTATATTTAATTTTTTTACTACAATAAAAAATTCTCATATAAAATCATACGTTAACTCAAATTAAAAATTTAAATGAACGAACTAAACGAATCTTTAATTTATATATGTCTATATATGTTCATATACGTGTGTGTATGTGCGTGTGTGTATATATATAAGAGTAAAGAGTGTGTAAGAATATAAACATTTTAAAATAGTTTTATATTTTATATTTTCTTTTTCTTTACAGTGAGTGACATGAGAACAATATTCTCTTTTTAAAAAAGGAGAATAAAAAACGTCTAGTGATCTGTGATCTCATTGAAACGTGTGAAGAAATGGAATTTATTTTCTATCCACATAAAAGACATGAAGGGTCCGTTTAGTTCGCTGATTTGAGTTTTTAATTTGAGTTGAGATGTGATTTTATATGAGAGCTTTTTATTGTAGTAAAAAAGTTAGATGTGATTATTTATGAGAGCTTTTTACTGTAACAAAACTTAAATTCTAAACTCAAATTAGCGAAATGAACGAGACCGAAATGTAGCGCTTGAACAATTAACATGAAAAAAAATAATTAAAAAATAAAGAGAAAACGGTGGCAGCACGCATCAACCACTCTTAAACAAAGGAGAGACATTAATTATTCAGCGGAAAAAAAAAGAAAAAAAAAAGAAAAAGAGAGACATACCCGCAAGTAACCCACAAGTTCAAAGAAATATACAGAGAAAAAAAAAACATAGGCCGGCAAGTCAACCACCTCCTAACCACTTATTTAATATAATCCTTTCATACATCTAATATCTATAGAAATAAAAAAAAAAAACACAAACATGTGCTTCCCATAAAGGAAAAAGGTTTTTTTTTGTCTCCTATGATTTTTACGGGAGAAATTTTTTCCATCGTAAAAAGTTAAAAGATTAGCCTAACTTATTAAATAATTGATGTAATTCTTTTATATTAAGTCGTAATAATTATTATTTTAAAAATTAAGAGTCATTTTAATCATATAATAAATAAAACACTATCAATACTAAATAAATGTTTATATATGACCAGATGTACTTATAAAAATAAAAATATGATATATATAATTTTTCAAGACAATATTATTCAGTTTTAAAAACATAAATTAGTTACGATAAAACGATTGATATTAACAGTAAAAATGACAGTCATTTATTAATGTATTTTCTAATTTTTTTATATAATTATTCACAAAAAATGTATATAACAATCATTCATTATTAAATATTTAAAACTATATTCTAATTTTTAAAATAATAATTATTATAACTCAATACAAAAAAATTATATTAGACTTTCAGCCCATTATGACGGCATATAAACCTGATAGAGACTTGTCTCCTATTTTTATACTGGGAGATTATAGACAATTCCAAGAAAAAAAGTCCCTTTCAAAAAAGAAAATAATTGTGTGCCACGTAGTACATGTACTTATCTTTAGATGCACAAATTATGTCCACTAATCACTTTTCCCAATGCATTTTAACGTCTAATATGCCTATAAATTGGAGCACTACTCCCTCCCCTCCAATGCTATCAAAGACTTTACTCAATAGCGATAGTGTCATTCCTACTACTTTGTCCTTCTCTTGGATCTCTCTCTGTCTACTTTTCTATATTTGGTCGTTTTTTTTCGAAGTAATATTTCTTCTTCGTCGAGTAATAATTTCTTTCTACCAAAAAAGCCATGAACATGGGTGTGGGCAAGAGAGCATTCGTGACCTTTCTTGCAGGCGACGGAGACTATGTCAAAGGCGTGGTGGGGCTTGCCAAGGGCCTCCGCAAGGCCAACACTCGTTACCCTCTCGTGGTGGCCGTGCTGCCGGATGTTCCCGACGACCCCCGCCGCATTCTTCGCTCCCAAGGATGCATCGTCCGGGAGATTGAGCCTTTCTATCCGCCTGAAAGCCAAACCAAATTTGTCAGGGCCTATTTTGTCATCAACTACTCTAAGCTTCGCCTTTGGGAGGTTAGTATAATTCTATTTTGTCAGTGTCTCTTGTATCATATGCATAGTACTGTTAGTTATTTGGATTCGAACTCGGATCCGATTTTTTTGGCGTCGTCGATCGTTGATGGAGACGACAACTGGGATTTTGTGATCTGGGTTGGACGTTGCTGCGGATCCGCTCTGATCTGGGGGAAAAAAAGGGGGGCTGGCGGAGAAACGGAGAAGGTTGATCGGCGGAATCCAAGCACCAGGTTTTTTTGAGAGTTTTTTACTGTAACAAAACTCAAATTTTAAACTCGAATCGACGAAATGAACGGGACTTGGATTTTGGAGACATAAAAAACCTGGACGGGTAGAGTCCTGCTTTTTAACGGTTGAATTAATTTTTTAATAATTAAATTTGTGTAAATCTGATTAAAAGTTTATAAGGGCAACACATAAAACTGTTCGATTTAATCATTAAAAAATTAATTTAGAGATAAAAAAATAGGACTCACTGATGGAAGTTTTTTTGGGTCCATGGTTAAGTTTATTATTATTATTATTATTATTAGTGGGTGTTCTTAGTTTGAGATCAAACGACTTCTTTAAGGAAAAAATGGTCCTTTTATTATTTTTCTTTAGTTTTTAGATGTTTTAAATTATTTTTAGATTACAGATGTTTTATAAATTATTGGTTTCTCTTCAATTATTTAAGAGGGTAAAAAATGAGATTTTACCTCTTAAAAATCGGCTTTTAAGATATAAAAAACTTTCTAAAATATTGAGATAAACAATACCAAAAGTATGTTTGGATTTAAGACATGTACGAAAATGATTGTATTCCTACTCTCTTTATGTTAATAATATCAATAATTGCGTGCTTTTCCCCACCGATTATATAGACTTTATTTTTTTTTTAATTATGTCCTTTGTTAATTTAGACATATATTCCGTTTTTTTAGTGAATATTGTATCTGTTATCCAATGATAAATATTTTTTCAGTAGATCAGATGCAGTAAATGGTGGAACATATTCCAACGACACAATATCTTCTTCTAGCCTAAGACCATTCTTAGCTAAACTATGGGCTGCATAATTTGCAAACCTTGGAGCATGGTCAACTAAACATTCATCGAAGAAGAAAAAGGACATGTATTAATGTCAGATACAAAATTCTCAAACTCAGAAATATTGAGGAGGGAGTTGGATTAATTTTTAAGGCATCACTCTTTATAAAGTTAGGTGGCATGCCAACATCTGTGGCTCAAATGAGATTGTAACTTAGAGTAGTTGCTTAGCTTCTTTAGAAGAAAACTTTCCAAAGCATCTAGAAGGTAGGGTAGTTATAACAAAGCCTTCACTATTTCAAATCAAAGCACTGATTCCAACTAGATTTTGTTTTAAAGAGATATCTGCATCAACATTCAGGGTGTGTTTTGAGTAAACATCGGTGCCATAGTTCGGATCATAGTTCGGAGCTGGCTACAGTGTTTTTCCTCACAAAAAATACACATAAATCAAAAATGGTTCTGAATCATAATTTTGAATCTATGAACCAAATATCCTCTTATTTTATATTGTCCAGCGGGAGGAGGAATCCAAGTCTTCATCGAGCCCAAAAATGGATCAATGCTCCTTTTGCTGGCAATGAGATTGTGCACGTTTTTCCTGATACCCAAATACAGGAACTTGAAAGAAACTATTTATTCCTAAGTTTCCATTATTTTAGACATAATTCTGTTTTCATCCAAAGATGTGTGTACATGTCTGCTATACGTTATTTGTTATATCTCCATAAGTATTGTATAACAAATAAGCTATAACTAAAGTATATATGACTATATATGTGTGTTGTATACCTGATTTGATCACTGTTTCAAATATTATTGTAGTTTGTAGAGTATGAGAAGATGATGTACTTGGATGCAGACATACAAGTGTTTGACAACGTTGATAACATATTTGACTCGCCAAATGGCTACTTCTATGCTGTGATGGATTGCTTTTGTGATAACGAAGTATGGTGTAACTCTCCTCAACACAAGATTGGCTACTGCCAGCAGCGCCCTGAGAGGGTGCAGTGGCCTGCCGAGATGGGGTCGCCGCCACCGTTGTACTTCAATGCCGGCATGTTCGTTTTCGAGCCTAACCTCGTCACTTACTCTAACCTCTTGGAGACCGTCAAAATCACAACTCCCACTACCTTTGCCGAGCAGGTAATTAAGTAATTTTCTACGCTTAGTAATCGCTTTCTAGTACGCAAATTAAAAATAAATAATCGTAGTATAAGATTGAATTTTAATATATGAATGTTACAATTTGTGTTACCTTTAATTAATTATGTGGTGCATATATATGTGTAGGACTTTCTGAACATGTACTTCAAGGATGTGTACAAGCCTATTTCAAATGTTTACAACCTCCTTGTGGCCATGTTGTGGTTTCACCCTGAGAATGTGGAAATTGACAAGGTCAAGGTTGTCCACTATTCTGCAGACGTAAGTGAACTCAAAAACAAAATATTCTCAAATATGAATACATTAAGAACTTCTGTATGGTAGGGATCTTGTATTAGTGGTGCTGTTTTTTAGCGTTAAATCATCACATCAAAATTAGATCGAAAAAAGAAATTACAGATCATTTAATAAAGCGATTTTCTTTGGGAGGTCAGTTATACTAATAATATTAGTTTTTAACTGTCGGATCATGTCAAAATCACATTCGATTGAAAAAATATGTAAATTAGATGGTTTCTGATACATATTTGATGGCTGAAAATAAAGAATTATCAGTAGTTCATTTTTCTGATCCTACTAAAAAAGCTCTCTTAACAAAATTAGATTAAAAAAAAGAAATTAATAGATCATTTAACAAAATTGGATTAGAACAAAAAAGAAATTATTCATTTAACAAAATTATATCGAAAGAAAAAAGAAATTACAGACTATTTAACATAATTTGATGAAAATTTGACATTTTAGAATTATGTATCAATCCAAACATGTTTACTTAATTAAGCGTTTTGCATTCTATTAATTTATTAATTAGCAAATGATATAATTTGTATACATAGGGAGCAAAGCCATGGAGGTACACAGGAAAGGAAGCGCATATGGACAGAGAAGACATAAAGTTGTGGGTGAAGAAGTGGTGGGACATTTATGAGGACGAATCCTTGGACTACGAGAATACTACTAAAAATATTGTGGAGAATGGAGAGATAAGACAAACAGATGTGGGTGAAGAAACTAGCTAGCCTAAGATTAGCAGCTTGCTAGCATATTATAATTTATATATTGCATATATATATATATGCAATATTCTATACATTGGTATTATTGCCATGTGTGTGAACAAACCTAATGTAAGTTGAGAATAAGCAATACGGTTGTTAAGTTTATTATGATGACCGTATATATATATTTCAAAAAGAAAAAAAAAAAAGAAAAAGCGTCTATGGAACTAGATGCATTGCTTCAGATTCTGTGGTTAAGTTATGCTATGTAATAATTGATCTTTCTTAAAATTAATATAAGGGTAAATTGTATTGTTGCATCTTATATTATGCGTGTGGTTGTAGATTGCATTTTGAAATTTTAATTTTGACAAATTGTACTTTTAATTTAAAATAAGTAGCAATTGAGGTCTAAAAAGAGACGTGTGTTAACAGATGGTTGGTGGTTTGAAGCACGCACAAAGCACATATGACCAGGTTTGTATGTCACAACTGATTTACTTATTTTCGTGTTCATGTGTTGCGCATTTGGAGATTAAGATCAGCAGCGTTCTGAATTTCTCTCTTCTTTTATAATGAGCAGCTTTCTGTGAGCTTTCTTTCTAGTGTTAATTATAGTAGGGATCTACTACCATCTACATGCAAAGAAAATCCAAAAGGTTTTCCTTTTATTAATTGGAAATCATGAGAATAATCTTTTCTAGTCCTTTTATGGAGTTTAAAATCCTGAAATTATCTTTTCCATTTCCTTTTAATTTGTTCACTTTCTAATTAAGCTCGTTAGGAGTACAAGGATTTGTGCACCTACGTGGCACATAGAACAACTATGACTTTGATACATGAGCTAAAATCACGACCCTTTAACCTTCCCCTTAAATTACCTCAAAACTAAAGTATAAATGACACCAATATTGTCCCCTCCAAACATTGCAATCAAAACAAACGAACTATATATAACAATTCTCAAAGCCATTTACATCTCATACAAAGATGAAGACCTCGGTCGTGACCATAACAACATCATCACTACTTTGGCTTCTTTTGATCTTTACACAATGACCTTCTCACCCCTAATCCAATGTAGGGTTTTCTCCCCGGTGGATGCCAACAATTTCATCGAGCAGACCGTGAGTTAACAACCTTTGCACCTCTATTCTTCGATCGGTTCCCCAGAGCTCAGATGCGGTTGTGAAAGACTTGACCTTCATAATGATTGGTGTAGTTAAGACCAAGGCGAAGGAGACACTTAATCGCGCCAAAAAAACTGATCAAAGAAAATCCTGAACCGGATGAGAAGACAACTTTAAGTTCTTGTGCTGATAATTATAATGCAATTATAACAACTGAAGTTCTTAGGGGGAATATTTCAATTTTTAGTTTTTACCACTAAAGTTAATAAATTTTTCTACTAAATCCACATTTTACACCCTGAACTATACGAGGCCAATAAATTCCACAAAATTCTCAATCAAATATCATTTTGCAACATTAAAATATAACTTTTTTTTTTTCTAAAAATTTCAATTACGGCCACAATGTTAAAAAAAAAAAATACTAGTACTTTTGAAACCCCCCACCCTTCCTCTTTATTTATTTATTTTTTTTGTCTCCTACAAAAATGAAGAGCGTGTTTGGTTGAAGGATTCATTTTCTGATTCGAATTATGATTCATAATTTATTATAATATTTTTTTTTATAAAAAATATATATAAATTAAAAATAATTATAATCTCATAATTTTAATTCATAAACTAAATTCGAATACTGTTGTCATGACCATAACAACATCATCACTAGTTGTGCTTCCGTTTGCTCTTTACACAATGTCCTTCCTACCACTAATCCAATCTAGTGTACTCTTCAACAAACCGGTGGTGCTCTCTATGGATAAAGCGTGCAATTCAACCTCCAATTATGATCTCTGTGTCGCCGTACTCTAATCGGATCCACAGAGTCAAGACATGACTGTTCTGTTTTTCGCCCTCATAATGATTGGTGCAGTTGAGGCTAAGGCAAATGAGACACTGAGTCACATCAAAGGCCTTATCAAGACAAGTCTTGAGCATGATGAGAAGCAACCGTTGAGTTCTTGTGTTTTTCATTTTGTGCTCAATTTTAATTCTCTCTCTCTCGTATAAATTCACTTTTTACTTCGTCAGTAGGATGTTGCAAAGTAAAAAAGTTATCATATGAATAGATATTTTCCATTGGCAACTAATTAGAGAACGATAACGAAAGGAAGAGAAAAATGAAAAATAAATCTTAATTTATTCATGTAAGACAGACAACACTATCAAGAACATTGCACATACAGACACAAAATTGGCAGAATCATCATGAGGATGTGGCGTTGCCTTTTTCCCCTGAGAACCTCCGGCTCTTTTATTTTATTTCATTTTATTTATTTTTTTCAAAACGGAAAAGAGAATTGAGTCTAATTCAATGGCAGGAAAATAAAGAAATAAAATTCAATATGTTTCTCCTTTCCAAAAAATAAAAAAATAAAAAAAAATAATCTCTGTATAATTTTTATTGGTTTTTAGCATTTATTTATTACCAATATAATTATACGAATACAACTATAGGACTATTTTAGCTTATTAGTCATTCAAGAGGAATACTCTGTCAAAAATGTCTATTCAATTCTCTGTCCAACTAATCAGTGATTGACCCATTATACACTCATCACAAGAGATTAACGGGGCAGAAAAAACGTTGATGGAATAAGAATTTTCTCTCGGTGCTTTCATTTGATTCCAATATTCACTTAACGATAACATAGCAATTCAATATGCGATTTGAATTATTAAAGTATACGGGCTTGGTGGTCTCATTGGAGAACAAGAATATAATTCGCACATCCAACTACAGGTTCCTGTGTATTTTCTTATCAGGGAAAAAAAAAATTTAACAAAAAAAATTGAAAAAATTAACAAGCAACAAAAATTTAATGATGAAGCCAGGAATTTTTATGAAGGAGGCTAATAACCACACAAAAAATTTAATAATACTTAATGTATTAGAATTGTCTTCGGTGAGTTTTCATGTCTTGAAAATGTCGCATAATAGTCTCATTATCAAGGCCATTGAAAATGTCTTTTTTGACATACACAAATAAAGTAACATTTAATAATTAATCTCTCATTCGATTGCGTAGCTGACTCTTCACAAAGTTCATGGAAAAAAAATACTCTCTCTACAGTAGCAATCAAAACTGTGTTTTTAAAAATTTGTGAAACTGAGGCTGGCAAGGACCATTATCCATATACGCTTGTCTAACTTGATCACGAATGTTAGGATGATACTCTAGAATGAGAATTCGCAACCCAGGATTAGTTTCTAGTTCTTTAGGATGGAAATTCACCTTGCTTGATTTAATACTAATGTCATTTTTTTCTGTAGGAATTGAAGACTCTTCTATCTTTCTTTTAAAAAAACCTTTCAATCATGTTCAATCAATGGCCACCTAAATAAAAATAAATTATAATCAACAATGCATTCTCATTTTTATTTGACAAACGAACATGTGAACATCAAACCCTACAGTCTAAGGAAAAAAAAAAAAAAACACTAATCAAACTCTACACAAAATTATATTGATTAAACTCAATTCCCTTGAAAACAGCGACTTTGAGATATGTGCTATTGTAATTTCATCAATTAAAAAGAAGTACAAAAATAAATGAGAAAATAATTAGGACAAGAACAAGAAGATTACCAATTGAAAAGAAGACTCCAAATCCAATGATTCAAAATGCTGGTGGCTTCTTATTGATTGTGATGTCTTGTTCTTTCTTCTTTTTGCCAAAAGGAAGCGATTTTTTGTTTTTTGTTTTTGTTTTTTTTTTTTTGGGGTGTGTATGCGTACTTGAAAATGTGAAGAAAGTTAGGACATGTTTTTTTAGAGTGTGATTTGAATGTAATTTTTGAGTTGAATTTGAGTTATAATTTGAGTTAAAACTATAACTTGAATAAAGTTGAGTAAAGTTGAATAAAATCGAAACTTAAAAGAACGTGAACTTAAATAAAGTTGTAAGTTAAGGCCCCGTTCACTTCGCCGATTCGAGTTTAGAATTCGAGTTGAGATGTGACTTTATGTGAGAGCTTTTTACTGTAGCAAAAAAGTTAGATGTGATTATTTGTGAGAGCTTTTTACTGTATAAAAACTCAAATTTTAAACTCAAATCAGCAAAGTGAATGAGCCCTTAAATTTAAACTTTTTCTGAGTTTCGTCGTAAAAGAATAACCTCTTAAAGTTGAAGACGAAGGGTCTAAGGCCAGCGTTGGAGACTGTGGAGTGCAGAGGAAGTTTGGCCTTTTATTTTATTTATTTAATCTAAATACGTTAATTTCTAATTAAGGCTTCTACAGTTTTTTTTTTCTTTCAAAAAAGGCTTCTACAGTTTTTTTTTTCCTTCAAAAAAGGCTTCTACAGATTTGGACTTTAGCCTTTAAGTGAATTGGGCTTTATTTGCTTATTAAAAAAAGAATTGGGCTTTATTAGGCTTATGTAGTCGAGTAAAAGAATTGAATTTACAATTTCAGGGGGGCTTTATGGAAATTTTCAGACACTGAGGGGAAGCCCCCCTTGGCCTATGTTGTCTACGTGCTTGATAAGAAAAACGCTTTAGTGAGACACCATCAGTGTCAAGCATCATCACTAATAGAAAGTGAGTCTCACTTGTGGATCCCACAATACGAGACCTATCTTCTATTAGTTGGGGGGTGCTAAGCACCACTAGAGCCCTATATCATTTCTAGTTTATAAAGTAGGGATTCCATATCTTCAGTTAAAAAAAAAAAAGAAAAAGAAAAAAGAAGAAGAAGAGATAGAGTTAGGGATTCTATAACCGTCCACATGCAGAGAAAATCCAAAAAGTATTTTGCTTTTATGGATTTGAAAATCCTAAATCATCTTTTGTATTCTTTTTTTGTTTGCTTCATAAGTTTGTAAGGCAGTATAAGGGTTAATTTGTGCAATATCCAAGTGGCAAATAGAACAAGACAACAAGTAGGGTTTGAGACATGAGATCACAATCCTTTTTAACTTTCCTATTAAAGCACCTCAAAACTCAAGCATAAATAGCACCTATTTCTACTTCAACACAACACAACCTTCAAAACAAACAAACTTTCAAGTACTTGATCATTTTGTAAGTTCCGGCAAATTAAAGATGAAGAACTTAGTCATGACTTTGACAAAATTATCACTTGTGCTTCTTTTTGCTCTTTACACAATGTCCTTCGCACCACTAATCCAATCTAGGGTTTCCTACCAATGGATGCCAACGATCTCTTCGAACAAACGTGCAAGCGAACTACGAATTATGGTTTATGCATCTCTTTTCTCCGATCAAATCCGCGGAGCTCGGGTGCGGATGTGAGAGGCTTGGCCCTCATAATGGTTGGTGTAATTGAGGCCAAGGCAAAGGGGACACTGAGCCAGATTAAAGACCTCATCAAGGCAAGTCCTCAGCGTGATGATAAGCAACCCTTGAGTTCTTGTGCTGAGTATTATGATGCAATTTTAAGTGGTGATGTTCCTGAAGCCATTCAAGCTCTCAAGACCGGTAAGTGGAATTTTCAGTTTTTACTAATTTTTACTTCCAAACTTCATAAAAATTTTAAAATAAATCCTCATTTTGTATCCTTAATTAAAATTTCTAACTTGGAATTTCACCTATAATGTTTTAATAAAAGTTTCAGTTATATTCGACGTAGAAATGTAAGTTTTAAAAACTTAATTATACCGATCTCTTAAATATATGAATTTATAGGGACATAAATAAACTCTACCAATATAATTAAACTTATATGGTTAATCTGAGTAAAATAAAAAAAAATTCCATTGAAACATATTCTTGGCTTTGTCTTTGCAGGTAACTACAAGTTTGCAGAGCAAGGGAGCAATAACGCTGCATTAGAGGCTAATATGTGTGAAAATAGGTTTTCAGGAAAGTCTCCTCTGACTAAGATGAACAAACTTGTGCATGATGTGGCTGTTGTAGCTGCAGCCATAACAAGAGTACTACTCACCGGTTGATTATGTTACTTGATAGATAGAACTAATAAAAGTATTTAACAGCCTTAAGTTCAGCTTTCTATTTTTGTGGTAGCAAAATTATAAGTTCTAATTATGTTACTCTTGCTCGTTCAAAACGGGCGTTAATACATATTCATTGCCAACTGAGACTTAGAAAACGACAACACCCTTGAGAACAAAACACGACATCATAGTATATAAACGGCAATGAATTTTAAAAACGCTAAACATTAGAAAAGCAATCATCTTAAGTCATATATTCATATACTCAAACTGATCACGTCATTAATTCTATTACAGTATTTTTTTCTTATAAAAAATTTGAATTTTAAACTTCGAAATCTAAAATCATAGTCTGAGTGTACCTCTTAAACGAGCCCATAGTACAAGGCTATTGACACTTTGAAAAGGTGTACAATAGGATCTGCCGTGAACCTAATCATACCAATTGATATCAAGTTTGAGTTACAATGGCAAAGTACCGTTGCCAAATCAACAGGATATCTATATGCTTAAAAGTGCTGCAGTTTCGAAAACGACATTATAGGAAAACAATATCTTATCATTAAAAAAAAAAGAGAGAGAGATTACATCATTAGAAAGGACAATAAAATGATAAAACGACAGCAATTTGAAAACATCCTTCTTGTTCTTAGAAAAGACAACATATTAAATTAAAAAAAAACGGAGTTTTTAAACGAATTTGCCTAAAAACGATTATTCGATTTCTTAGAATGTTAGGAAGAAAATATCAGCATCTACCAGAGTACGATTAAAGATGTTCTGATTCAGCATGAATTATTGAAAGCGTTGCAAGAAAAAAAATAAGAAAATATGAAAGATGAAGATTAAGAAGAATTGGAAGTGAAAGCGGTAAGCACTATTCGTTTAAGTTTAGCTTTTGAATTAAAATATAGTGTTATGAATGAGACATCTTCTTCTAAGTTATGGAAAAAATAGAAAAAATTTATATGTCGAAATTCCTAACAAATAGATTATATTTGAAGAAACAATTGTATGAGTTGAAGATGGATGAGGAAAGTGATGTTAGGGATCATATATATAATTTTTATAAGTACATAACTCAATTGTTAAGTGTAGAAGTCAAAATTGATGAGGAAGATAAAGCGGTAATTTTATTGGCCTCTCTACGTAAATCATATGAGATTTTGGTGACTACACTGTTAGTTGGAAAGACGATGTTGACTGTGGATGAGTTGTCGACTGTTCTATTAGAAACTGCAAATATGAAGATGCCAAGTAGTATATCTCACACTGAATAAGTTTTAGTGGTTAAGTCAGATTCGAATAGGGGCAGGAGTAGGTCACGAGGAAGATGTTATGATAAGAGAGATGATCATTCTCAATCCCGACCAAGGAAGGATATTGAGTGCTACTATTGTCGTAAGAAGGGGCATATTAAGAGAAACTGTGAAGAATTGACAAAGCACATTAAAAAAAAGAGAAAGCAAGTAACTCAAGAGACTTCAGATTTTGCAAATGTTATTGATGATAGGTATGACAGTGAAGACGAATTTATTCTATTATTGCTGATGAAAATATTTCTGACTCTTGGATCTCAGATTATGGATGCTTGTTTCATGTGTCCATATAATGAGTGTTTTTATTCTTATAAGTCCTGTGATACTGAAACTTTGTTGATGGCTAATGATTCTAGTGCTAAAGCTGTTGGAATAGGTACTGTTAAGGTGAAGATGTTTGATGGAGTTGTGAAGACATTGACAAATGTTAGGCATGTTTGTCAACAAAGGAGAAGTTTGATTTCTTTGGGAGCTTTAGACACTTTGGGTTGTGAGTACTATGTGAAGACTGGTTTTATGCAAGTCAAGAGAGGTGATTTAGTAGCGATGAATGGTGAAAAAGTGAAAAACTTGTATATATTGATTGGGACTATAGTCATAGGTAGAGCTATGAAGGTGAAGCTAAGCCATAAAGAATCTTCTTTTGTTCTGAAAGAAGTTGCGGGAGTAAAAGAGTGCAACAAGATGATAATAGTTGAATATGATAAAGATAAGATGGTGAGGACTTGTAGCAGTGAAGATACTTTGAAAAAGAAGGAGACAGTTTCTCGTGTCAAGTTTGATGAGAGTTTGAACTTGATACATGTTTATTCTTGTTGAAGTTTGCATTGTCGGTATGATGACGGGTTTCGAGATTAAATACCCAAATGAGTGAGTTGAGAGAATTTGAGTCAATGTGGAGATTGTTGGGTAAGTGCCTCAAATTGGTTTTGAGAAAGTTACTATTTCGTGTTTTTTTGTAAGTAACTATTTTCTGTTTTTGGGTAAAGGGTTGTTAGGGGTCTATAAATAAGTATTTTGTGTAAAACTTCATGTGCTAAAAGAAAAGTATAGAGAAAGAGTGCATCTTTTAGAGAGAAATAGAGAAAAGTGAGAAGAGAAATGGCAAATGGTGTAAGGAGTTTTAGATAGTGAGAAAAAAGAAAAAAATTTGTTGAGTGTATAATTTTAAAACTTTTAGTGAAGTTTTTCTCCCTCCTCCGTGGATGTAGAAAATTTTTTTGCACTACTTAAATATTTATCTTCTTTATTTTCTGTTATGGAGTGGAAAATCCAGAATTATCTTTGCCACTACTTTTATGGAGTTGAAAATCCTGGATTATCTTTGCTAGTCCTTTTATATATGGAGTTGAAAATCCTGGACTATCTTTGCTAGTCCTTTTATGGAGTTGAAAATCCTGGATTTTCTTTCCTAGTCCATTTTTGGAGTTGAAAATCCTGGATTATCTTTTCTAATCCCTTTTGTTTTCTTTCTAAGCTTGTTAGGAAATATATGATTTGTGGACAAGATAAGATCATGACCTTTAACCTTTTCCTTTAAAGCACCTCAAAACTCAAAATATAAATAACACCAATATTATCTCCTCCAACAAATAACAATATTCAAAACAAGCGAACTATATATTTACAACTTCTCAAAACCCTTTGTTTTTTTATCTCATACAAATTAAGATGAAGATCACCTCGATCATGACCATAACAAAATCGTCAGTACTCGTGCTTCTTTCTGCTCTTTACACAATGTCCTTCCTACCACAAATCCAATCTAGGGTTTTCTTGCCAATGGATGCTAACAATTTCATCGAACAAACATGCAAGCAGACCGCATATTACGATCTTTGCACCTCTATTCTCCGATCGGATCCACGTAGCTCAGATGCGGATGTGAAAGGCTTGACCTTCATAGAGGTTGGAGTATGGGAGGCCAAGGCAAAGGAGACACTAAGCCACATTGAAGAATTGATCAAGGGAAGTCCAAAACAGGATGAGAAGGCAGCTTTGAGTTCTTGTGCTAACAATTATAATGCAATTATAACTACTGATATTCCTAAAGCCATTGGAGGTCTTGATGCAAGTAAGGGGAAGATTTCAATATTTCGTTTTTACCACCAAAGTCTATACATAGTTCTGTTATATCATCATTTTACACCTTCAACTCTGATGCAATTATCTCTGCAAGGTTTTCAATCAAATATCATTTTGTACCGTTAGAATTTTTAAAACCATCTTCGATGCGAATGCTAATGCCAATGGCAATAGTATATTTAACATTAAAATTTGTGATATGATATGTTATTTTTATTTTTAAAATAATTAAAAAATACAAAAGTTATATTGATTACATAAAAAAGTAAACATTTCAACCAATAGTACTAATCAAATGCTAAATTTCTCATATGCTATATAATTGGTGGGAAATTTACCATAAAGTATAACATATGGGAGATTTGGCACAACAAATAGCATTGCATTGGAGAGTATTTTTTTACACTCACATATTAAATTTCTAATTATCACATTAATTATAGCACTGCATTAGAGATGCTCTACAGAAGAAGTTTCAATATAACTTTTATCTAAAAGTTTCAAATACGCTCACATAGTAATATAAGTTTTAAGTATATTAATCTTATTATTTCAAATTAGAAACCTAATTATGTCACAATATCTTTTTATAACTATCTGAATTTTTAGACATCCTAGACTTTTAAGAACTCAATTAAACTCGCATGCGTGGTATATTTGAAGGAAAAAAATAATAATAATAAAAGGAACCAGAGAGAGGGAAAAAATAAATAAATAAAGAAAGAAAGAATGAATGAAAGTACTTCACTTAATAGATATCTGTCTTCATCTTTGCAGATGACTTCAAGACTACGGAAGTAAGCGCCGAGGATGCTTGCAGAAAGGCCGATTCTTGTGCGGAAAGCTTCTCAGGGAGTTCTCCTTTGTCTGAGATGAACAAACTTGTGCATGATACGGCTGCTCTGACCGCCACCATGGCACTAATAATGCTCAACTCTCCATTTTTGTCTTAGTTTGTTGTTCTTTTATTACTACTAGTTTTGTAACGTGCTCCGCACGTATTGCCGTGTCGTTAGAGACACTTTAAGAAATAATGAGAAATTTATTTATGAAAAAAATATTTTAACCAATTAAAAATAAATAAAAACACATGCAAAAGAAAAAAAATATATTTTCATAAAAGTAAGCGAGGAACAATATATTTTTCAAAAACACACAAAAACTTAAAATGTAAAAAAATCATAAAACAATAAAAAAGAAAAAAAAGAAATAAGTGGAGTGGCAATCTCATGGAAAAGAGCATTGTCTCTTTTATGTATTGTTAGATTATATTAGATGTATAGAAAAAAAAAGGCATAGACAAAAAAAAAGGGAGAGAAGAAAAATAAAATAAAGGTCTGTAAAAAAAAATGTTTTTAGGACCTCAAATGCAAAAATGCCTTAAAATATAGACATCTTATAACATTTAATGGGCAAAAAGAGAGTGAAGAATAACGGTGCAAATGGAATAAGAGTTATATAATAAGGATTTGGGGACTTGAATGTCACTCAAAATTTTAAAATGGTGACCAAACGTTAAGAATTGTAAAGCTTGGAGATCTGTGGCGTAAAAATCCCATAAAACAAAGTTTTATAAACTATATATATAAGTTATATATATTAGACGCAACTTATAAATAAAATTTTTTACTCACACTTTCATCACTAATAGAAATAAAACGGTGGGGTGGGAGTAAATTGGCTCTTTCTAGACGTTGTTATATTTTTATTTATTTATTTATTTATTTTAAGGACATCCTTTGGATGTTAGACTCTGCTGGGTGGTGTTAATTTTCTTATTTATTTTTGACCCCTCTTTTGCTTTTAGACTTTTAGTTGCATCAAGTTCTTTCTCCACTAATTATTTCTATTAGTGTAGTGGAAGTCTAACTTGAGATTTTATCGTCACAAGTTATGTTTGGTTTTTGTTGATCTTTTTTTTTTTTTTTTTTTTTTTTTTTTTTTTTTTTTTTTTTTTTTTGCTTCGTGTGTGCATGTTGTCCTCCCCTTGCCCTCACTCTTTATCTTCTCGGCTCTGGCTCTAGCTCTCTCTCTCTATCTGTCTCATTTCGTCAATCGTCAGCCGAATCTCACAGTGGTTTTGCAGCATCTTGCTGTGATTTCTTTGTTGTACTCATACGTTTCTTTTCAATCATAAAAAATCAAAACTAAAACCATACTCTCTCTCTCTCTCTCTCTCTCACCTTCTTTTCTTTTTCTTCTTTCTTAGCTTCTTTCTTCAAAAAGAAAGATAAATATATTATACTTATATATATAGACTTATTTTTAATGTTTACGTTTCCATCAATGCTTATTATTAAATATAAAATTTTGATAATATGGCATGATAAGAATCTAGTTTTATTAATTGTCATCGTGAATCGGTCAGTATTCAAAGAATTAACTATAAGATAGGCCACATAGATTATAAATCAATAATTCACGAATAAAACATATAGTGTTTTGTTTTTTTTGGTAAATCTTAAATTTACAGTACAACATAATCTGTGCTCTGATGGATTTACAAAGGAATAAAAATTTTATTCTAATGGTAATCTTGGATTTATGAAGAAACACAACGGTCATGTTTGGAGTTTGTTTTGTTTTTTTTTTGCACATTTTTCAAGAAAAAAATAAAAACGGGAGAGAAATGACGTTTGACACAATTAAAGACAAAAAACGGAAATAAAAACGATTTTTTGGTTTAGTGTAAAATGAGAGAGAAATGAAAAATGACTTTTAGTCGTTTTTCATTTTTTGTTTCCTTTTTCTCCTCTCTCGAGCACAGAGAGAGAGAGACATTAATGTATTTTTTTTATATTGAAAACAATCTCTTGATAAAACTACTAAACGCATTCCAAAATGATATGTGTATGAGATTGAAAACATTTTCATTTCCATTTTCATACAAAAAATAAAATCATTTTAAAACGAATTCTAAACGCACCCAACATATTTCTTATGGTAAATCTTAGATTTACCATCATAACTAAAAAATGTTTATCTTACAGAAATAAAGTTAATATAATTCAATAATAGATTTAACCACATTGCATTTTTTTAAAATAATGATAATAATCATACTTACGTCGCTTACACTTTTAAATTTGTAATTTACGATCTCACCAATGGCAATCAAAAGAAAGAACGGCCGGCGATGCGAGAGAGGTGATGAAAGCGAAGAATATTGATAAATTGGCTATTTACTAACATAAAGTTTTAAATGCAAGCTTATTTTCTACAATTTCTCCTTACAAAATTGAGCCTCAGAAACGGCAATTTCTTAGAAACGAGAACACATTTGAAAACATAGGACGAAATCATGCATACTACAGAACCGCCAAATGAATTGTAATTACAGAACGTTAGAAATGTAAAATCATGAAAATTTTAAAACTGAAGTTGCTTAATTCTCTCATCCGTCGATAGATGGTTCTGTCTTCTAAATTTCCTCCTTGGCATTATGAATATAGGCCTTAAAGATATCATGACATAAGTTATCTACTGTATCAGCAGTAAAAATCTTCACACCCAACTCACCCAAGAGTTGCCAGGCCTCCGGTGTCACGTCGACGCCGAAAGCCAAGATCGCGGCCAACTCCTTTTTCTTTTCTAGCATACAGCTGGCCCTCATGACATGATCTTAAGTACACGGCCGAAAGCTTTACAACCAGCAGGAAGAATAAAGTTGTAACTCGAGTTGCATTTTTTGGACTCTTTAGGGGTTGTTCTTTTACATTTTTGAGTTAGAGTGACTTAAGTGATGATCTTGAATTGAGTTTGAGTTATAACTTGAGTTGAAATTGTAACTTGAGTTTGTGTTTGAATGTGCACATTTGAGTTATGATTTGAATTGAGAATCTTTTTGAGTTTGTGTTTGAGTGGGTCAAAACATAAATTTGTATTTAAATATTATTTTAATAAAAATTCAATTGTAATAAAAAATTTTAATAGGATATATGCATGAGGTTTTATTCATCTTTTCGTTACGAATGCATAGAAAAAAAATCATCTCAATCATAATTAAAACGAAAAAGTTATTGCATTTTTAAGAATAGAAAAAATATTGTTCATTAACTTGAGTTCGAGTTTATGAACTCGAGTTGAAGAGAAAACTTGAACTCGAGTTTAGTCCCAAACTCGAGTTCAAACTCAAGATCATCCCAAACTCGAGTTCAAACTCAAGTTCAAACTCAAATTTTATAAAAGAATATGAACTTAAATAAAGTTGTAACTCGAATTCAAATTTTTTCTGAGTTTCATTCTAAAAAAACAAGCCCTTAAAAACTTGAGCAATGCTTCCATGCAACCTAGTGTGTTCCTCCTCAATCCTCTTCAGAATAGATTTCATTTGTTCCTTGGTAGCTTCCTTGATAGCTTCCAAGTTGTTAGAACCGGTTATGTGCTTTTACCGTGTTTTCTTATAAAATGATTAAGGATTACCAAAGCAAAACACAAAAGCAGAGTAAATACTACACAATGATAAAATGTGGTTCAGTCAAACCGACCTACATCCATGGGGCCACACCTAGGCATCAAGCAATCCACTAATAGGTAAAAAGTTACAGACACCAATCGGACTTAACCAACTCAAGACTCCCTCTTGACTATCGACGCCGCTGTGTCTAACACCCTAAGTGGCTAGCTTGGCGAGCACCACTCGTCTTCAAAACGCCTTCTCCCGAAAGCTCACAAAATCATCTCTCAAAGATCAAAATCGATGAACGCTCTTTCTCTTCAACTTGTGCACACCATACTTTATCAGAATTGCAGTCCATAGATAGATTCCTCGTGCAGCAACCTTTTATAAACTGATCTTAATTCAAAATCAGAATCTGTCTCAGAATCTGTAGTTACAGATAAGACAGTTATCAGATTAAAATTCAAAGCACGTAATCTGCTTCGCATATTCCAGTTTTAATTTCCTTGACCCAGATTCTCAGCACTCCAATCTCTTTTTAGATGATATCTTGATCTTCAAAACAAATTCATCATGAAATACGGTTTTGAATAAACCTCTTATTCAAACTAAAACAAAATCTATAACAGATATTTGTTTCAATTTCAAATCCTGGTTTAAATCAAAATAGCAACACAATCTTGATCTTCTCCACGAAATCCTTAGAGCCTTATCTTAATTCAAAACGGTGAGGCTGATTTCTTCTATTTGAACGAACCCAAAAGCTGATCTTCTTCTATTCGAACGAACCCAACGAATTCGAGAAACTAACTCCAGATTTTGTCAAAAACGTACAGCATTACTTAAGGAACCAAACGACTCAAACAAAAGTTATACGACACTTCTGCAGCAACTAATATACTACTTTCAAAACGTAAGTTTTTCTTGACACTTTCAAAATAAACAATCTAAACATTAGGCCCAACTAAGCCAACCAAAGCCCAAAACATAAAAAGAGAGCCAAAACGACTCACACGACTCAACACAAGTCATCATGGGGCCACACAACATATAATTAAATTAAGGAACCGCCTTCAATTTCCTAGGGGACGTTTGAATGTTACTAGTGTAATTCCACACGCGATGCACGTGTAGAGTAATTTAGATGTTGAGTTCTAATTATTGTGTTATTAAGCATATAAAATTTGAATATAAAATCTCAAAAAGGAAAAAAATAAAGTTTGGGAAGAAAAAAAGGGGTCAATAAAGAAATAAAATGATGAATTAAAAAAGTTTTAGGGTAAAAAGGATCAAAATGGAAAAATTATAAAATTTCAAGATATAAATTAAAAAAAGGTAAAAAATAACCAAAACAAAAAAAATATAGGACAAAAGAACCCAAACGGAAAATAAATAATGTTTATGGGAGAAAAATAAAAAAAAATAAAATCTCAGGGGGGAAATAAAAAAAGATAAAAAAGAACTAAATAAATAAATAAGTTTTAGGGTACTACCAAAAAAGAATATTTAAGTAGGAAAATATAAAATTTTTGGGGAAAAAAGCAAAAGGAGAAAGATGAGCTAACAACAGAGGGAAAACCATGAAAAAAAAAAGAAAAAAGAAGAAAGAAAGGGTCATAACTGTTCACGTTTTCTATCAAAAACACTGTTGTTTTGGTCGAAAAACGTGTGAACAGTGAAACGCGATTTCATTTTCTATTACATAGATTACCATTATACCATTTTCTAATTCAATGGCACGAAATAAAGCAATCAAATTCAATATTTTCTCCTTTCAAAAAATGAAATAAAATAGGTTTCATAATTAAGTTTTGTTATCTAACCAATTAGCGGGTCCGTTTAATTCGTTAATTCAATTTTTTAATTTGAATTGAGATGTGATGTTATGTGAGAATTTTTTACTGTAATAAAAAAATTAAATAACTATTTCTGAAAGCTTTATACTGTAATAAAACTCGAAATCAACGAAATAATGAACGGGGCTTAAGAATATTGTATTATTTTTATTGGTTTTAAAAGAATGAAGTGTGTCCATTAGTTTATTTACTCATCATACTTGCATTAATTCTTCCAATTGCCACAATTGAGAGTTTATTTTCTACCTTGAATATCGTGAAGAATCTTTTGCAAAATAGAATGGGACATCAATGGAGGGCATGATTTCTTCGCTCCCTCACAATTTCACCGCGACCCGTTGATTTGTGGAGGAGGTCGGTGCTATTTCATCGAGACCCTTCGTCGCGATTTCAATCAGCGTTGTTTCGTCAAGACCCGTCGCATCGCGACGGAGGTCGATCGTTGCGATTTCGTCGCTACTTGTAGCGATTTGTGCTCATCGCGACGAAGTTAGCAATTCATTGTAATCCATTGCGACCCACGATGGTGTTCATGATTTCCTCGCGAAGTTGCGACTAAAACCGCGAGCTGTCGTGACGGAGGTCGCAGCGATGGGGCGGTTTGTTTTAAATTATTAGGTAGAATTGGTTGTTAGTAAATGTGGGTGTGTCTATTTTTGTCTCTATGAGAAGACGCACTGGGTCCGTCCATTTTGAATGCAACGATTAGGAAAAAAAAAAATTTCGTCATCGATACTGTAAAGTGGGTTAGGGTATTATAGTCATACCCTTAAAAATATATAGATGTTCGCTGGGGAACCAAAAAATAAATAAATAAATAAAAGAAAGTAAGAATGGAGGATTAAAAATACAAAATGAAAGAGGGAATGGGCCAAAGTAAGAGAGACTGAAAAAGAAATAATAGCTCAAGGAAGGACTAAAAAGAAAAAAAGAAAAATCACACTTTCGACCAAAGCATCGTCTTCATATATCAACTATTTGGAGTTAGGGTTTTCTTATTTACTATTATCATTGTGTGAAATTTCTTTTTTTTCTTTAGCCTCAGAATTTATTTCGAGTTAGGTTTTTATTTCTTTTCCTTTTTTATTATTTTTTCACCGTCATCATTTGATATCAACAAAGAATTGCATGCAATAATGCGATATATAGTTTTTCTATGAAAATTTTGTGTTATATATTATTCATGGACGAACAATCGTAGTTAGGGTTAGAGTAATCTTCATCCCTGATTTTGTTGTTCTTCGCGTGTATGGATTTCTCTTACTAAATTAGTGTGTGGAATTGATATATGAGATTTCGATTCACGCTGTCTGTTGTGATTTCTGGATGCTTGCAATGCCATCTCGTTTCTCACTTTCTTAACCCTCTTTTTTTTTTTAGATCGGATTTGTCAGTTCAATTGACTCAGAAAACAATGGCTGATGTTGTTAAGGTTTTATCTCCTCTTTCATACTCTCAAAATAAAATCTCCATAATTTGCTCTCTTAGATAATCTCTGGAATATCTTCGCGACATTTTCCCAAAGAGTCTGCACAATATTTGATTCAAGATCACCACATATGCTGCACAAAATCCGTCTCATAATCCCATTCAAATTATTTGAATTGCACATCTCTAAAAAATCTTCACAACATGTCTTTATCTCCATTTAAATTCAAATTCAACATTTCTTCTAGAAGCTCATCTCTCACAATCAGAGCCTTCCAAATCCAGATAACCGTCAATTTAAATCCCCCATAGAAAATCTGGTTTAAAACTTGCCTCAAAATCCGAAAGAAATCTTCATAAAATCTGTTTCGAAATCTGCTTCAAATCTGATTCAAACTCGCCTCATTTTCTGCACAATAACCGATTCTGCACCAAGGTCCAGCTTAATCCTTTTTTTGAATTTGTACAGACATTTGCCCAAAAATGCCAACTAACAAAAGACCTAACATAAATCAACAACAATTTTGTAAGTTCAAGAAGTATTTACATAATTTCGAATTACAGAACTAGAAGTACACTAAATTACATTTTTTTTCCCTGGTACGACATGGGATCGAACTCGCTTTCCCTCCAAGCCCATCCCACTCAAACCACCTTGGTGCTACTAGACCAAGCGGTAGAAATTAGAACCCTAAATTACATTCTGGAAAAATAAAATAGTAGAAAGATTTTAAGACGCAGGCTTGCGTTGATGCCACAAAGAACTAGTTGATAATCTACAGCAGGCTCTCCATCAACCAATACAACATAAACTGTTGCCCCATGGTCTTCGACAAGCCTGACCATTGTTACAAAGCACTAGCAATGGCAATAGCAATATCAAACAAACGAGTTTCTAATACAAAGCACTAGCAATATCACATTACTTAAATTTTCTAGGTTCAACCGTATTCTTTAAGTGTTTTTATTGGTAATATTGTAAAAATTCAAAAAATAAGTTCAAGAAGATTACGTATTGTAGAAGAAGAGTCAGAATTAAATTTAAAATTTAAAATAGTAGATTTTGTGGATTTAAGATTTGGATAGATAAGAATAAAACTTGGTCAAATGAAGATAAGATTTGATGGAGAATTTGAATTGAAGATTAAAAGGATGCAAGAATGGAGGATTAAAAATAAAAAAATACAAGAGGGAAAGGGGTAAAGTGAGAGGGACTGAAAAAGAAATAATAGCTCAGGAGGGATTAAAAAAAAAAGGGAAAACCTACACTTTCGACCAAAACCTATATATGTTTGCCAGGTTTCATATCCCTAGTAACTATTTCTCTCATGCCGTTTTGCGCTCTGAATTTCTTTAATCGATTGCTAACAGCCGTTGATCATCGTCGAACGGTGAGTGTCAGGTATTCTACTGTTTCGAGTTAGGGCTTTTCTTATTTATTATTATCATTGTGTCAATTTTTTTTTTCTTTAGCCTCAGAATTTATTTCGAGTTAGGGTTTTTTTTTTTCTTGTTTTCTTTTCACCGTCAGCATCTGATATCAACAAACAATTGCGATGTATATAGTTTTTCTATAAAAATATTCTGTTTATTTCTTAGTCATATACGAACAATAGTATGTTAGGGTTAGAGAAATCTTCATCCCTGATTTTGTTGTTCTTCGCGTGCATTGATTTTATTACTGAATTTGGGTGTGGAATTGATATCTGAGATTTCGATTCACGCTGTCGGTTGTGATTTTTGGGTGCTTGCAATGCCATCTCGTTTCTAACTTTCTTCAATGTCTCTCTCTCTCTCTCTTTTTAGATCGGATTTGTCAGTTCAATTGACTCAGAAAACAATGGCTGATGTCGTTAAGGTTTTATCTCTTTCTTCATACTCTCAATATAATCAAACTCTGATGACAGTTGAAACTAAATAAAAAAAAAAAAAGGAAAAAACTGACTGATTGGATTCTCATTTGTTTGATATTGCTATTGGTAGTGTTTTGTGACGAGGGTCAAGGTTGAGAGAGACCATGGGGCAACAGCTGATGTTGTATTGGTCGATGGAGTGCTTCATGTAGATGATCGAATAGTTCTTTGTGGCATCGAGGCAAGCATCCATCCTAAATCTTCTGTTCTAATTTTCCAAAATCTGTAATTTAGAGCATATCTGTTTGACCGTATTAAAGCACCGTATTGTATAATAATACATTAATACAATGTTTGGTATGACCATCGTATTGTATAAACTAATATGAATGGTAAATTAATATGGTCTTTGTCGTATTATTGAATACGGCTCATTTTTAACGTATTGTATTGTATTATTTTATAGTGCTTTAGTGTTGTAATATTGCTCGCTATAAATTCTTCATGTAAATATTTACTTTTATAATAATTGTTGCACATGAGTTTGGGGAATTGATGGTAATTGTTGTTGATACACGTTTTCTTTTGTAGGGACCAGTTGTTACTACTATCTGGAACTTCTTAACGCCCCTTCCATTGGAAGAATCCCTGGCTCGGGTAATAATGCTCTTGGCTGTACTATATATATGTTTCATTTGAAAGCTAGGCATCTCTTTCCTTTCCTTTTCTCCCTTGAACCTTTATTATTGAAAATTATACCGTCAATGAATGTGCAGCAACATTGCTTCAATTTGGAACACCTTTATTACTTACCTATGGCTATGGCTGTGTATTTTGCTATTTGATTGATCTCAAAGACGGGTTAACCAACTCCATTACAATTTGTTTTTATGCTAGGTACCGTATCTTCATCACGAGGAAATCAAGCACGGTCAGAGTATCAAGATCGCAGCAGAGGTCCCTATATGAATTTTGTTACTAAGTATCCTTGGATTTGTTTAAGCCATAATCGCTTTTACTTCCATATTTCACTCCTGATTAGGCCTTTTGATTCTTTCTCTGTTTGATGCATTCTGCAGGGCCTTGAATATATGTTTATTCTGGCAGCAGGCTATATGTAGTGAGGCCCCAGGATGACTTGGAAGCTATCAAGGAAGCTGCCAATGAATATGTCAAGTCTTTTCAGAAAAGGATTGATGAGGAGGTTGTTGGTTCAGCAATACGCGCATCGACACAATTCGCCGCGGAAGAATTGCTCAAGTTTTTAACGAGTCGAGAAGTCGATGTTCCTATTAGTTCTATAACTATAGGTCCTGTGCTTAAGCAGGATGTCATGAAGGTCGGCAGTGTCCTTGAAAGGAAGGAGTTGGCGACAATCTTGGCTTTTGGCGTGGAAGTGACACCAGAGGCCCAACAACTCTCTGATGAGTTGGGTGTAAACATTTTTACTGCCGATACATTGAATAACTTGTGTCGTATGTTTAAGTCGTATATCGATATTCTCAAGGGGCGAAAGAAGAGGGAAGCGTATGAGGAGGAGGTGGTGTTCCCATGTGTTGTTAAGATTTTGGATACAGATTTTGATGCCAATGATCGTTTTGCCTTGAGAATCGATGTACTTGAAGGCATTGCTAAGGTAAATAATGTTATTTATTTATTTGATAGATTTGGTTTTTTTTTTTTTTTTTTTGATCTTTTTTGTTTTTTTGTTTGCTTAATTAAGTTGACTAGAATCAATCATGTTACTTGTTGCTTTCTGTGTAGGTTGGAAATCCACTCTGTATTCCTCAAAGGGGCTTCATCAATATCGGCCGCATTGCCGCGATTAGAGATATTAATGACAAACCTGTTGATTTAGCAAAGAAAGGGCAGGTGGTAACCATCAAGGTATAACGCAATGCCTTTGCTTTTTATATATTGCACGCTTGTACTATAATGTCCTACTGACTGCTTGAATACGTTTTTTTAGAGAAGTCGTACACAATTCTATTGCCAAACTTGTTTTCCTTGTGTTCTTTTCAGATAGTTGGCACCAGTCCGGAGGAGCAGCAAATAGAGTTTTGTAGGCATTTTAAGATTGATGATGTGCTAGTAAGCCATATATCAAGAAGGTCCATTGATGTGCTAAAAGCTTATTATCGAGTATGTTTGCAATTTTCATTACATGCCTTCTTTCTCCCACAGTAAACGCTATTTTTGAATTAGTTGGTAACTGTGGTTTAAAATTTTCAGGATGATCTATCCCCGGAGGATTGGAGGTTGGTCAACAAATTGAAGTGCATTTTCAAGATTCCATGAGAGAAGTATGATGATATATATATATATAATGCCCAAGAGAAGAAACAAATATGATGATACATACATACACATATATATATATATATATATCTATTACTATGTTAAAAAGAAGAATTCCCTTTAGGTGCAGTTCAAAAATTTGGTTCTAATTATTTTGTCTTTTAGTGCTTTATGACTTTTATCAGTTACTATGTTAACAAGGAGACTTCCCTTTTGGTACTATTAAAAAATTCGGTTCAATTATTGTTGTTTAGTGTTTTATGATTTTTAAAAACTGTGACCTTTTATGATAAGGTGAGCATTCTTGTCATACCGGTAGGTATTGTTATTTTAATTATTTAATTAACTCTTTAATAGTTTGATATGTGAGACCAACGTTAAAAACTTGAAGCGCACGATGTAGGACTACCTTTTGTCATAGATCAAGCCGTTGAAAATTCAATCCAATAATTAAAATAGTAGTACTTACTATGAGGATAAATTTTGAGTTTTGTCTGGCCTTAAAATTGAGAGTTTGTTTTGTATTATAAGAAAATTTGGCTCAAATATTTTGTCTTTTGATGCTTTGATTTTTTTTTTTTTAACTTTTTTTTTCTTTTCCTTTAAGTGAATATCAGTGGCCAAAGAACAAATGCATATTTTCAGAGACTATAAATTTGTGCAAATAATCCTTTTTCTTTTCTTTTAAAGACAATTTTTCGTGGATTCTTTTTTTATTCATAAATATACATTATAAAAACTTCAATTACAACTTAATACGTGCATTGCACATATCTGAGCTAGTATCCTATAAATTTGGTGGTTAAATGTTTGATAAGGGGTTATTTTGAGAACATTTTGGTTTGTTAAAATAAGGGTTATATACGGTACTTTGTAGAAACATGGGATAACTATGACCATAATTTGATCATAAAAAGAGCAAAAGTGAAGGGTTTGTCTATTGTCACTTCCCATTTATTTTTCTTACCCTTTTTCTTTTTTCACTCATTAATTAAATTTTAACTTTTTAATTATTACTTGTTACACCCTTTTTAAAATTTTAAAAAAATTCCCACAATTATATTGTATTGTTTTTCTTTTTTACACCCACCAATTAACCAAACCTACCATTTTCTTTTTCAACCATTTTTTAAGATTCTTTTTCAACCGACTCACTTATTAGTCGTGGAGAAAAAACAGGTACGGCCGCCTTCATAAAAGTTAGGAAAATAATAGGAAATAGGTTTATATTTGAAACTTATGAAAGTAAATGGCTAATTTACCAAACATATAGAAATTAATATGCAATTTCATGTTTTTATTTTCTAATTTTTCAGGTTTACCTTATTCTTTCTATTTTTGCCCTTTCCAAATTTTTTCCCTTCTTTCTCTATCTTCTATTTTCTGTTCTCTTTCTACTATCTCTCTCTAACTCTATCATTCTACGTTGATCTTCTCTCCCTCTCTCTCATTGAGTGATCACTGGTAATCAAAGTCGACGGAGTACTAGAACTCCGATGATTGCTTGACTATCGTTGCTCTTCTCTTGATACACAGTGTTATATATCAAGGATTTACTGTTAGATTTGTACTGTTCTTTTATTAAATAATATTAACTCAATAAATCGTGGATTTAACGTGTATTTTTAGGATTTATATCATTAGAATTTATACTATTCTTTTTCAAGTAATGCTAACTTGGTAAATCCTGAATTTACCGTGTATATTTAAGATTTACGACTAGAATTTATTACGTGTTTATTTGTAAGTACTAAGTTTAATTGTAAATCTTGTATTTACACTTCACTCTAAGATTCCATGTAATATTAACTTGGTAAATCATGAATTTACGGTTTATATATTAGATTTACCATTAGAATTTGTAATATTTTCTTTTTTAAGTAGTGTTAACTTGATAAATCCTGAATTTACCGTGTATATCCAGGATTTGCCATTAGAATCGTGGTAGAAGATAGTACATCTAATTGGAGCATATATATGCATATTCAAGGAAATTATAACTCGGATTGTATGTATCATTTTTCTCTTTTACTGAAACCACTCAAACTATGGGAGGCATTACTGGGAAATTGAATTCGTCTGGATTGTAATATATGTAAGTTTGTGTTCATTGGTGATGGTAGGTAAAAACCAATAGTATCTATCTGTTTTTCTTTCTTGATTTCAACATTGGTTTTTTGCCTTTTAAACTTGGATTTTGCAATCATGGGTTTCCTATACCATGATAATATCTTCAAAGTTTATAGGATTAATAAAAGGATCAATACCTAGATTATTTGTGACACTCTTGATTTCCCCCCCTTTTTCCCGTTGAAGTGTCACTCTACTTTTTTGGGCTTCAGTAGGTTTAAACAATTAATGGTGTTTATACTCATTGGCTTACAAAATTGAGCCTTAAAAATGACAATTTCTTAGAAACGAGAACACCTTTGGAAACATAAAACGAAATCATATTATAGAACCGCCAAATGAATTGTAGCAAAACATTAGAAATGCAAAATCATGAAAATTTTAAAATTGAAGTTACTTCTCTCATCCGTCGATAGATGGTTCCTTCTTCTCATTATTTGCTTCCTTGGCATAATGGATATAGGCCTTAAACGTATGACGTAAGTCAGCTATTGTATCAGCAGTAAAAACCTTCACACCCAACTCGGCCGAGAGTTGCCAGGCCCCCGGTGTCACGTCGACGCCAAAAGCGAAGATCACGGCCAACTCCGTTTTCTTTTCTAGCATACCGCTGGTCCTCATGGCATCTCTTAAGTACACGGCCGAAAGCTGTATAACCAACATTAATATTAACCTCTGGACTCTTTTGAAAACTCGAGCAATGCTTCCATGGAGCCTAGAGTCGATACATTTACAGGAAGTCCCCAAGTATATTTCTCATCAATCCTGTTCAGAATAGACTTCATTGGTTCCTTGGCAGCTTCCTTGATAGCTTCGGTACGTTTCGTAAAAGCGTTTTCATCCACGTATTTATTGAGTTTTCTGCGCTTTATTTCCTCATATCTTGAGTTGTGTCAGTAGTATTTATTAAGCCCCGTTTGGTAATTTCTCTACTTGTTTCCCATATTGCCCTTTTCATTTCACTCCAATTCATCCACTGCTATAACATTCATGTCCTTCCCTGATGATGATGATGATCAGGGATGATCTAGGAAGGCTGGCCCACATAATGGTTGATCTTGTTCTCTCAAAGGCAACTGAAACTCTTGACTACATAAGGAGTCTTCTGAAGCAAGAGCAAGACCCAGAATTGGAGAAATCTTTTGCTTACTATGCTGAGCTCTACATCCCAGTTGTGAAAAACAGCCTTCCACAAGCCAATGCTGCGACAAAAACTTCTCTTATAAGTCAAACAAATCTCCTCTTGTTGTGAAAAACAGTCTTCTTAATTAATGATCTTTCAGGAGTTGCCGCATCCATTATTAGTGTGTTGTTGAAAGGATGATTATTGGCGGTGTTTATGCCTATTACAATTATTAGCTTTCTTTGTACTTTCATAGTGGTGAATATATGAATATATATCATCTGTCATATTGTTTATCTTCATGTTCTTTTATTTGGACTTCTTGTGACAAAAGTGCATTGAGTTGGGGAAAATTGCTTTAGCTTAACC